ATTAACACTATTTCTAAGAAAATATTGTGATCTAAGACACATTTTTCAACACGTTTCTCTCTCCCTCTTTTCTTCTCCGCGCGTGACGTTTATCTCTGCGCGCGACGTTTTATCTCTACGCGCCTTTTGACCCCATCGGCGCTCCGTATGCAGTCCTCGTCATGCAGACAGATGAACGACAAAGTGTGTGTGTGTGTGTGTGTGTGTGTGTGTGTGTGAGTGTGTGTGTGTGTGTGTGTGTGTGTGTGTGTGTGTGTGTGTGTGTGTGTGTGTGTGTGTGTGTGTGCGCGTGTGTGTGTGTGTGTGTGAGTATGTGTGAGTGTGCGTGTGTGAGTGTGCGTGAGTATGTGTGTGTGTGTGTGTGTGTGTGTGTGTGAGTGAGTGAATGAGTGAGTTAGGTAGAGAATTGATTGAATTGGTAGGCAAGTAAATGAAGAAGTGAACTCGAATCAGTTTGCCAGTTTTGAATCCTTAACCTTCCAAAGTATAAGTTTGATGTTGAATTTGTTCCGTTCCAGACGTGCAAGCCGCTGGGCAGGAGAGGTGAGAGATGTCACACCGCCACCAACAACATCCCCTACCCGTACGACGGTAAGGAAGGACCAGGGACGTGTCTGTGTGCCGCCTTGTAATGGTTCCGATACCACGAATGAGCATATTATGTACACGTTTCTCTCGTTTTTTTAACCCAAGCAATGTTGTTATTAAGCCACACTGATTTACGTTAATGGATAACATCCGCGCGTGCATTGATTTTCGCCTGCTAAAGGCCTGGGTGCCATCCTTTGTAGTCCATGATAGCTATCGACAGAAGGGAGCCGGCGGAGGACGGTACCCAGGCTAAGGACGCTCGGTGCACGGGTGCCGGCGAAAGTACAGCACCGCACATTCGCAATACCGGTTTTGCATATCAGTAGTTCAGTTATAGCATCATTTTTGGCGATTTTTTATTGGCCCTATCTCTCTAGTTTTTGGATCTTCAGAGGAAATTATCCATAAAATTAAGCCAGTGTGGCCTTGAGTGGGCAGTCAGCTGCGGCGGAATTAAGAGGAACTTACCATTGGCTTGGCCGAATCGTATTAAGGGTCTATAACGGTAGTCTTCTGGAGCTCTGATGAATTTATTATGACAATAATTGTCCCAGGTGCAGCCATGTGAATGTACGATTTGATCGACTCACACCGGGATGGACCACTTCTTTTATCGATAAGTGTGGTGGGTTCTTCAACGTGCTCGGCGTGTCTCTCATCAAACATGGGTCCTCCATTTAGCGTCCTATCTGAGGGCTAGCCCATTTTCACCTGCCTGACACAGGGCAAGCAAAACATGTTGCATAAGGGATCATAGATGTTTGATGAAGGATACGTGACCTCGATACAGCTCTGTAAACGATTTGCCGGCGATGCCGCCCGGTGAACGCACTCGTAAGGCCTCAGCAGGTGTGCAGGATTTGGGCGGCACAGGCGGGCGAAACGTGCATGAAAGCCAGCACGACATGTTCAATTTGTTCACGTCCTTTGCTGATAGATTAGTTAGGCCTCATATTCCCACTAGGATAAAATTGTCCGGATCGAGCCGAAAAGATTCTCTTCGAACTGGATTTGAGCCGGCTTCGAGCTGGATCATGCCTGATCGAAGCCTGATCAAAACGGATCAATTCGGCTCGATCCGGACAAGTTTACCCTAGTGGGAATAGGGCCTATATCATTGATTTGCCTCACTTACCGGCAACACAGGAAAGGTAAAATTGTCATTACTCAACCGCAAAGACCATGATTACTCATGAAAGCTTGGTTCCTACGGACCCTTGTTTTATTTCTTAATTTGGTCTATCAGTAAACTGGTAAAATAGGTTCAATACAGAAATCAGATAAGTGCGGATAAAAGTTATTTCAACATAAAGATAGTCAGAAACATTTATCTATATGGTTCATTGTATAATTCCCTTAGCCCCTGTTTGTTTGATATTTCCTAGAAATGTTCAATTAAGGAGTGCCTGTGACGTCTGTCAGCATTACGTAAAAGATTATCATAGTCCCACAAAGACGTCATGAGCGGTGAATTGTCAATGTACTTGAGACACGACGCACCGACTGACGCTCGTCGTGTTACACAACGGGTCCCTTCTCTACGCCCACCTTCCTCTAATCATTCGTTCTTACATGTACATACGCTACTTCTTACAGAACACTGTCAGACCTGTACAAGTGTCCACCTCTATTTAGGGATTACCTGACTCATGTGGACAATTTTGGGTGGTCCCTTTGATAATTTATATCATATAAATATTAAGATAATATTTTCCATCGACAGAAGCATTATATATCTTGTCTGTATTGACCACCTGTCTAAAAGTACTAGTATATAGAGTGACCTGCATGCTGCCCCTGCGACATAGTATATACATTAGCCACAGGATTGACTGTATATATTGACCAGGTTTTATCGGATGAAACTAATACGTTTAGAGTAACTGCCGTTCCAACATGGTCTCCCCTCCAGGCCAGCGGAAGTACTGGCGCTGCCCGTGCGAAAGATCCCTGTCCTGCATGGCGGTAGGAAACAGCCCAGTCGGCTTCTGCCGAGCTCCTCTCTCGGGGCAAGGCGCAACCTACGCCGGGAAGCATGGCCACTCCGTCACGGTGCCTTTGGAGGACGGCACGGAGCTGGTCAAGCTGGTGGAGACGAAACGAAAGAGCGGTTTATCTGGTAAAAACAGGGGCGTTCTTGTGGATAGGAAGGACTATACAGACTTACATGAGTATTTTGATGATCGTGCACCCACACACGATGCTGATTATATCGGTTAACATGTGTATTACATGTCGTGCGGCAATGTAGCATTACGAGAATTACATTGCAATGACTCTGTAGCACTCCATTGCAATGACTGCATATCACACTAGTTCCAAAGAATGTGTTGTTTACGAATAATACAGATTGATTGTTATTCAGATCATTAGGAACTGTACCAGCACATACTGTCTCTTGTCTAAACGGAATGTTGCCGTAACAAGTTTGTAAACAGTTTTTAAAAATCCCGCTGAGGTAATTCAAAGCTGTAGCGCAGATAGGTGACGCACGGTGGCGCTTTTGTTCGCTAAATGTGTATGAAGCCCAGCAAACGTCGTCACGAGCCGTAGACATCAGTGAGTTAAAGGGAACAAAGCCTAACGTAGTTTGTGTGCTTGATAGGCCTTCCTAATAAGGTTATAGCTATCGCTAAGACGATACCCGATAAACCTCTACAACTCCTCTGACTAGCTCGGCGGAGGGATATATATTTCTCAGCGGAAAAAATTCAGCGACGAGATATGCATTTCTCTACGGAATAACATCGAACAGAATACCACAGAATAAAATTTCCCTTACATATTACCGGAGTCATGTGTTTATTCACTACCCTGCTGGTTACCAAACCTATTTTAACTCCCGAGTCTTTTATCCTCTCCGCGAATTTGTCGGTAACAAACAAACAAGTCGGCAACACCCTTATAATACAATATACGGAAGACAACTCTGTTCTGTGCTGTAAGGATGAACGAAATCGCCAGGAGGCGTTTCTGCATAACAGAAGTACCAAATGAAAGTTATTGCCAAAAGCAGGGCCCGAGATCCAGGAGGCCTAAAAGCTCACTGGTATCGTCATTACGTATCAAACACCCATGATTACTAATGACGAAGAAGAAAGAATTTGATCTTTCACGTTCACTGGTCTTTTAAAATTCTTGTCATCTCACTAAAACAGTACAGAGAGGTCAATAACCTGTACAAATCTCGGGTTAGGCCATGTTGATTTGATTTTATGGATGACATCCGCGCGCGCATGAATTTTTGGCCGTTTCCAAAAAAAAAGTTTTCAACCATACTGTAAATCGTACAAAACAGTTGCAAAATGAGCAAAAGTATACCATAAGTTACAAAAAAATTAATAAAAACTATACCAATGTCGTAGAATGCCAAAATCAAACGAAAAAAGACGAAATTGTAAAGAAATGAATTTGAAGACTAGATTATTCGCCAAACCATATTCTGTGTCATTTTCTCAACCCTCATGACCACGTAGATTTCATAATGAAAAGAACTTTTTTTTTGCATAACTTTTTTTTTATTCGCACGCGCGCATCAGTTTTGGGGCTCCGGGAGGATGTCATCCATATAATCAAATCAACATGGCCTTACCGAAAACTTGAGCTGAAAACTACCAGGAATCTTTCATGACTACAGCACATTTGTCCGGAAGGGTAAGTCATAAGTCAGATTCATGCCATGTTGTGCGTTTTTGTTGCTTACATTTTCATCTATAGATCAATACGAGGCACGAAGAAATGACCAATGGATGACCCACGAGTTTTATTGCATATTTATCAAGAGAATTCAATAGCACCTCAACAAAATAGTTTCCGATTCCGTGCCTTTTGTATCTCAGCAGTTTCTGATAGACAGAAAAAAAACCTTACATATCAGCAATCCTCTCTTATAGCTATAGGCTTTGAGTTATTACTCCGTGATTCTTTCTCGGTTCACCTCACAATCTGTATACCGGTACGATATCTGCCAAGTCCTTCGGGAATGAGCATCCAAACGGCCCCCTTGGCACAATCCCAATTCAACACACAGGGAAAAAACGACGAGGAGCCGCAAAGCTCAGTGGACTCGTGCTGGCGCATGTTTCAATAATTTCATTAGGTCTGATTAGCGAGATGATTTCCTCACACAAGACATGAATCGTGTTCCGTCCACCTGTCGCTTTCTAGTCGGCACGCACGTACGTACGTCCCTGTCCGTCTGACGTCAGCAGTGGTGCCTGGCAGCCAGGAACACACCCGGCTAATCACCGCTGGCGATTCCGCTCTTCTCAAGTGGAATTGGGACAAACTCGTCAGCTAGTTCTTGGTCGTCAGTGGCGTAACGACAGAATGCTCGACTCGCAACCAAGAGGTCCCGGGTTCGAGTCCTGACATGCCACCGATCTTGTGCCATTAGGAACGGCACTTTACACGACTTTTCTAAAGTGAATGACTGGTTTATTATGTAAAACATTTACAACCATCAGGCTGAAGTAAGTACGTTATGTGAAAATGAGTACTGTCCTGTATTTGTGCTCTGCGTTGGTGGCGGCATAAATCAAGTCGAAACATGCGCATGTCACATGAAATTGCATCATGACCAAAGTCTATACTAAAAATTAACAAAACCCGTTTAAGAAGAACTACTTTGACTCAACATCTACGCCACTGTCTATTTCCGCATAAGGTAAACGTAACTGAAGGAATAGATCCGAAGTAAGGATATATCATGGCCCCTGTCGCCATATTCTGACCAACCGTTATCCTCCCATTTAGAGCTATCCTCTCCAAGAATTCTCATTTGAAAAACATCAGTAGGTCTATATGAGTGTATATCGCAACGTAGACTTGTAATTTGGATTTGTGAACAAACAAGTCGAATTTATTTCACAGCTGGAAAACATTTTTCCTTCCTGGAACACATCTGTGTACAGCCAGTATGTGTTTGTGTTTGTATCTACTTTGTAAATGTCCTTTGTTTGTTAGTTCACCTTATTGTTTAATTGCTTTTAAACCTGTGTACGTAATTCAGCGGTTTTGTACGCTGCCATGTACAAGGAGTGTTGCCAATAAACTATTATTATTTTTTCATAACTGGAACACATTTTTCACATCTGGAAGACATTTTTTCACACCTTGAACACATTTTTTGGACACATAGAAATGTGTTCCAGCTGTCAAAAAAATGTCTTCCAGGAGTGAAAAAAATGTCGAAAAAATGTCTTCTAGGTGTCAAAAAAATGTGTTCCAGGTGTCAAAAACTTGTCGAAAAAATGTCTTCCAGGTGTAAAAAAAATGTGCTCCAGGTGTCAAAAACTTGTCGAAAAAATGTCTTCCAGGTGTCAAAAAAATGTGCTCCAGGTGTCAAAAAATTGTCGAAAAAATGTCTTCCAGGTGTCAAAAAAATGTCGAAAAAATGTCTTCCATGTGTCGAAAAAATGTCGAAAAAATGTCTTTCAGGTGTCAAAAAAATGTCTTCCAGGTGTCAAAAAATGTCTTCCAGGTGTCAAAAAAATGTCGAAAAAATGTCTTCCAGGTGTCAAAAAAATGTGTTCCATGTGTCGAAAAAATGTCGAAAAAATGTCTTCCAGGTGTCAAAAAAATGTGTTCCATGTGTCGAAAAATGTCTTCCAGGTGTCAAAAAAATGTGTTCCATGTGTCGAAAAAATGTCGAAAAATGTCTTCCAGGTGTCAAAAAAATGTCTTCCAGGTGTCAAAAAATTGTCGAAAAAATGTCTTCCAGGTGTCAAAAAAATGTGTCCCGGGTGTGAAAAAATGTGTTCCAGGAGTGAAAAAAATATCGAAAAAATGTCTTCCAGGTGTAAAAAAAATGTTCCAGGTGTTCTGGAAGACATTTTTTCGACATTTTTTTCACTCCTGGAACACTTTTTTTTCACACCTTGAAGACATTTTTTGATTATGGCATTCTACGACATTGGTATCGTTTTCCAATGTTTTTTTCTTAAACGGCCGAAAATTCATGCGCGCGCGGATGTCATCAATATAATCAAATCAACATGGCCTTATCACAGGGCCAGGAACTAGGGCAATCGGGACGTACACGTATACACGTGTAGTAGATAACATTTGTACATACAATTCATGCCCTATCGGGCTAAGTACAGGTGAACATGCAGATGAAAAGATACATACAATGTTTGTAGTACAAACAGGACTACTGATACTAATCTTTGTTTATGACAAAGTAGACTTCATTTTCTACCTTATTCAAGCTACAAAATTGACATTCTTTGCTCCAGAGGTGTGTGGTTGGGCCTTCCTATCTCTATGCTGAGTTTATGGCAGCTGTAATGACATGTGCTAAAAGAGTAGGTTAAAATGCACCCCACTCAGGGTACTGTCAGGTTAACACCTGTAGGGATGCATGCAGGGGAAGCTTGGGATAAAGTACGTGTTGTTCTACTCGTTACTGGCATTACTAACAGGCCGAAGAGATTGTCTTGGATTCTAATCAAACCTTAGCTTGTCATGGCGGGGTTCACAATATATCACACTTTTGACCCTGTCGAGGAGAGAAGTCACTGGCGATGGTCCAACTCACTTACTACACGGTGCGCTGTCACCATCTGTGACCATGATCTGCGACCGAGCCCTTTCAGAAACTACTGCAACACTTAGCCCGGGATTTAGCTGTCAGGCATGTGTGCTATGCGCAATACATTTATATGTGACAATGCTATGTGACAAGTAATTGAATAAAAGGTATTTACGGGGAACCCTCTTAATAAACCCCTATGTTTCTGGGCTTTTCCTGCACATTTTTTGTACATATTTAAGTACATATTGATGTGTTTTAAGTGCAAACTGTCGTCAATAAACAACAAAAAATCAATAGCTTAATATAGTGAAAAGTCTTTTATCTTCTGTGCAAAAATTTCAGCTTGACCATATACACAAAAGTGTTTGTGTTACAAAAGGAAGAGCAGACCAGTGCAGTTTATGCATGAGGGCCCTGGTATATTTAGCTGGAGTCATTCTTGTGACAGTCGTGCATATATATATTATACGAAATTCAGTCTAATTAGCTCGTTAAGCCTTCTTAGATCCTTGTCAGTGGCCTGCTTGAACATATTAAGCCGCATTAAAATCCTCCGACGGGCTGCTACGAATGTGACCTCATCACCAGTTGTCTTGTGATCTTTAAACCCATTTCAGAAACATTGGCAGTGTTAGTGGGATCGTGATGGTACATCTTCCAGCCACTTCATTACGTCTAATTAGTGAAATAGCTTCTC